TTTTGATGAAGTGCAGTTTATCTGTTTTTCCTGTTGTTGCCTGTGTTGTTGGTGTCATATCCAAGAAATCATTGCCAAATCCAGTGTCATGAAATTTGATACATTTTGAGGGAGTTTTTGGGGGTTTTTTTTGGTAGATGGTATAAAGTAAGAATCCACCTTCATCCTTTGTGTGTGGGGATGAAGTTTTTCCTGCATCATTTGTTGAAAAGACTGTCCTTTCCACGTTGAACTGTCTTAGCACCCTCGTCAAAAATCATCTGAGCATATCTGTGAGGGTATATTTCTGGGCACTCTGTTCTCTAACATTGATCTACATGTCTGTCTTTATGATAGGACCATACTATTGAGATTACTGTAGCTTGGTTGTAAATATTAAAATTAATAAATGCAAGTCCACCAACATGGACTTTTTCAAGGTTGTTTTGGCTATTCAGGGACCCTTGCCAGTCCATACGAATATTAGGAAGGGCTCTTCTATTTCTGCATTCTGCATGTGATTTGAAGTTTTTAGTAAACTACTTGCCTACGTTTAGGTAATTATTAATGTAAGCAAATTTGAATAGGATAAACAAGACTTTCAGTTCTTATAATGTTTAGGTTCCTTTCATAGGACATCAGATTAACCATTTTAAAGTGGACAATTCAGTAGCTATTAGTGCATTCACACTGTATAACCACCACCTCTAGTCCAGAACATCTTGTTACTCTGGAGGAGAGACGGTTCCGTGGTGTGGCCGCTCGCTGTCTGTCCTGCGAGCTGGGCGCAGGCCCCACAGGGGCGCCGGGCTGTAACAGGAACCCCAGGGCCCGCGCAGCGCCCCTGGAAGTATTTATTCACATCGCCAGCCTCTCCATTCCTTGTACGTGCTTCCATTAAACCAATATAGTGGGTGCTTCTCCTCTGTTAACTCTTTAGGTAAAATGGGTCTGGGCCAGCAGGGCCTTCAGATGCGCAGACTGATGGAAAGTCAGGAAGAAAGAGACAAACCAGCTCACCGTTCCCTCTCTCAGTGCCACCTGGGGGACTGGACTTGGTGGCTGTTGCGCCAAGTCCAGCACATTCTCCTAAGTATTGTCTGTGTTCCTCTAGTCACTAGTATTGGAGTATCAGTTCTGATGGCCAAACGGTGTCTTTGAAAAAGTAAGGGTGCCAAAGACTGTTAATTTACCTTCTTGTGAAATTTCAATCTTTCTCCCAAGAACCATCTCAAAGTTAGGCTTGGTTTAGGTGCTGCTTCTTAGCATAAGTGTGGCAGGTGTTAGTGGAATGTTAATTCTGTGTCTGTCCCCTGCGGTGATTTTGTCAGATGGTGGGAAGGTGTTTGTAATTAACCCTCTGACGTCATTAAACGTCTCGTATTCAGTTTCTGAACTTGTGTTCTCTCAAAAGCAAATATTAAGTTTCTTTTGACTGCATCATTAACTTTCTCTTTGTTTTAAATAAAAAGTATTCATGGTAAAAATAACTAGATTAGTAATTTCTCTAATGATCCAAACTGACGGGAAAAAGAATTCAAGTAACTTCTGAATACACCGCATGCGCCGGTGTAGCTGTGGTCTGAGGGCCCTCAAGGACCTTCCAGAGTTTCACAAGGACAAGATATTGTCAGAATAATACTAAGACATTATTTGCCATTTTCTGCCGAGTTACCATTTGCCCTGATGGTACAGAGCCAGAGGCAGAGAAAACTGCTGGCCCTTGGCCTGCACCGCGGCACCGCGGCAGGGGCGCCAAACTGCTGCGCTCATTGCGCTCTTGACCCCAGTGCGCTCGATATTAGGTGAAAATGCCAGCTTCGCGCGAGAACATCTTGCAACAGTAAAAATTGTCTTATTAAAATCTGGATCCTTGAGGGCCTCTCCTTAATATATTGGATGATGAAATGGATGTACATAGAAAGTCCTTTTGCGCCCCTAAGTATAGTGTTTGGTTATCTCGGAAAAGGTCGTGCGTGCGTGCATGCGTGTGTGTGGTCAGTCAGACTGTTCCAAGGGTACAAAGACCCACGAAGAAATCTTGAACTTGGCGGCTGGTGGTGGTGGTGGTAATGTCAGTGGTTGCGTACGTCTGAAACTATTTTGTGTGTATTGTAGATAGAGGAGATGGGTCAGTATATGAGAAATTCTAGGAACTGAGGTTTTCATTGTGGGAGGAGGGGGCCATTAAGCAGAATGGAGGTTGGTGAGGAAGAATCTGCCATGTTGCATTTGAATTCAAGGTGTCACTATGAACTTCTGATTTAAGATATTTAAAATCTCCATGTGCAGTCAGAGAGCCTAGAAGCAATGATACTTCACCAGCCAGGAGCACACTGAGTTCTCAGATCTCGATTTTACGTGCCAGGGCTCCTTGGAGAAGTGGCTGATTGAAGATCTGGGGCAGGAAAAGTACACTAGCTCAGCATGCTTGTGAGAAAGCACGGGGGTGACCAAAGCCTGTTAGGGTTGTGTCAAAAGGACACAGAACCTTAAAGGAGCCCCTGGTGGCCAAAATTTGGACAGTTTGGGCATCACAAAGAATGATGACAGTAATGGGTGATGACATTGAATTAGAAAACAAACAAACCATAAATCTACATGGTGGGGGGCAGGAGGGATACACAGGAGGAGAAAGAATATTGTATTACAGAAAATGCCAGCTGGTATATCAAGGGGAAATAGACTGGGAAAATCGCCATTTTGCTGCCCCTAATGTAGTAATTGATTCAGGCAAGAGTTGCCAGTGGATACTGAAAGTATTGAGTGAAGTGTTATCAGGGAGAAGGATGTTCACAGATTGAGATATTTATATCTCAAATATCATCCTAGTTATTACTTAGTACCTACAAAGGGGTAAAGTATTTTTGCTACAGAGAAATCTGGCAGATCCTGCCCAGTTGCTCAGATAGCGTGACTATTAAAAAGGGAGACAGCCAGACGTCACATGCTTTCTGAAGGAAGAACGCAGTGCTACCTGGCAGGCAGTGCCAGAAAGTGAACTTGAATCTGATCAGGCCCCCAGATTCAGCTACCAAAGTACAAAACATTCAAAGGAACAGGAGTCTGTGAAATACCATTCTGGGGCTGTAAACAAACTGGCAGATGCTCCAGCCCAACGACCCAGTTTCTTCAAAAGTAAGTTGCAGGAAAGAAAATTAAAATGGAGACATTAAAAATAAATAAATAAATGGAGACATAGTGAAGGACTCAAGAGACATATTAACTAGTGTATGAGCCTTATTTGAATGATGATACAAATAAACTGAGTTTAAAAAATAAGTTCTAAAACTGTGATCACAGACTATATATTTGCTGATTATGCAGGATGAATGACACTGTCTATAACTGCTTAAAAAACTTTGGAAGGAGGGCAGTGGGGTAGGGGTACAGAGGGAACAGGGTCAGCCATGGATGGAAACTTGCTGGGGGAGGGGTCAACATGGGTGTTCATTATACTACTCCATCTACTTACTCATGTATTTTACAGTTTTTATAATAACACTTTTAAAAACATTACTAATGAATAAGGGTAACCTGACCTTTTTTGCCTCCTTATGCACTACATTGAGAGCATTCGTCATCTGCATAGGACTCTTACGAAAATATTTAATTGAATGTATCAGGAAACAGTAAAGTTGAGAACGTAAGACATTCTACAAGGTGGGTGTCTTGGGCTGTCTGTACTCAGTGTTATGAAAAAGGCAACAAGAAACAATGTCACAAAAAAACCCCGAAACAATCAAATGCAGTGCAGATCCTTGCTTAGACTCTCTTTCCCTCAGCCAAAGGTTATGAAAGACATTTTGGAGACCGTTGGAGGTCTTTAAATATGGACTCCTGATAAAGGATACTGTTGAATTGATGTAAATTACTTTAGGTATGATTATGATTTTGTGTTTCTATAGGAGAAAGTCCTTATTTTTTGGGTGATCTGTGCTCAAATATTTTAGAGTGGTATCTGCAAATTACTTTGAACATAGGTGAAAATGCCAGCTTCGCGCGAGAACATCTTGCAACAGTAAAAATTGTCTTATTAAAATCTGGATCCTTGAGGGCCTCTCCTTAATATATTGGATGATGAAATGGATGTACATAGAAAGTCCTTTTGCGCCCCTAAGTATAGTGTTTGGTTATCTCGGAAAAGGTCGTGCGTGCGTGCATGCGTGTGTGTGGTCAGTCAGGTCAGTTAGGTTGGCTCATATTAATTAAATGACTTTTTCTAGGTCAAAAACAGTCAAATATCAGCAAGCACCTATGGGTCCAACTAATACTTGTCGAAAGAAAGCTAATGTTGCGACAGATGGAGGTTCCACGTGAAGAATATACAAATGTTTGTACTATTCTTTTACCTGCATCGGTCTTTCAACTTCTTCAGAATGAGGAGCTGGGAACAAACACGTGGTCAATGTATGAAAATGAACCCTGAGCAGATGCACGTTGGAAGGTTACGTGTGCCGACGACGCTCTTGCTAGTAATAATCGCCTATACTAGCATTTATATTCTCTGGGAATTCTAACACCCTACAATTGATTTAGAATATAGAGAAGAAGGAAAGCTGTTTCATTGTGTGCGTTCTCTGAATCAGCATATGAGAACAGAAAAATAAAGAACTATAGGTGGGAGTTAAGAAAAGATGAACGCAGTAATACCTTATGGAGTCTTTTTTCCATGGATGACATTTAAAGACAATCCACTGTAGGAGAAAAATAGATCATTAGTTTCTCAGAAAACTGATGTCTGCTTTTCTCACTCTTTGTCAAGAGATCAGAAATGGCTTCTAGGTAGGCAGGTTGTGACATTCTCTGTAAGCTAGGGTATATCTCTAGAATTGGAAGAAGTCTTACCCCCACCCCCCTCCCCTCTTGTTGCCTAAGGCCTGAGCTGACACCCTTTTGCCCAGGGTTACTGGGGTCTACTGGACCCCCCAGGCAGATTGATAAAGTTATGAGATGATAATTCCCACTCTTTGGAGAATTTCTATAAGTGATTGCTCTTTTCTGTTTTAAATCCAAAACAGATCCCTAAAGATGTGGCTGACATCTTTAACGCCCCTAGTGATGATGAAGAGTTTGTCGGCTTCCGAGATGATGTTCCCATGGAAACCCTCTCATCAGAGGAAAGCTGCAATAGTTTCGACTCCCTGGAGCCGGGGAAACAGGTACGGATGCCTTCGTGCTCATCTGGAAGCCTGGATCTCAGTTCAGATACTCTTTTCTTTGCACATGGTCAGAGATGGGTGATATCCGTCAGTTGTTGAGCATTTTATTTTCCAAGCATTATGCCTTCACGTTTCGAGAAACTGATGAAAGCGCCTAGCTCACTTTCGCTGTTTAAATCCTTACGTGATTTTCTTTTCTAATAAAGGAGACCTCACATGATCACATCCATTTTCTGTGCAACCTCGGGGCTGCTGCCTGTGACGAGGCTGTATTCAGAGACTCACAGACAACGGGTGGGTTGGGGGCCGGGGCGCTGGCCCTCACAGCAACAGCCCACGCTACGCAGTGCAGTGCTGGGAGTGTGTCCTGACCACCAGACACTTGTGCCTTGCTCTTGCAGCATGGCTCTGTCTGCACTTCCCTCTTGGAATTGCTGGGAAGAGCCTGTTTCCTTCTTTAATCACTTTGCTCTGTGGTACAAACAAATTATGCCTCTCTGAGTGTTACATTCCTGGAGGTGTGCGTTGTGCTTTAGCACTGGCCTGACCCACCGAAGTGTCCAGCCCTCTGGCATTTTCTTCTGAGTTCACGGTGGCACTCAAAGTTCTTTGTTCTCCTTCGACCACGGTCTCTCTTAAAAGGCTGTAAATTAAACCCGCCCTGCGTCAACCAGGCAAGCGCGGGAAGGAAGCAGGCAGTTATGTCTGAGCGCAGCGTGGGCATGATGGCTCGGCTGGCTGTGTGTTCTGGCCTCGGTGGGGGCCGTGTTCTCCCAGCGTGTGCTCCTCCCCTCTCGGTGGTCCTCGCCTTACTTGATGTCTCCACGGCATTCGACCCTGCCTGCCACCTGTGTCCACTTCCCTTGTTCTCTTTCCCTTATGCCATTTATTCTTGGTTGTCGTCTCTTCTGTTTCCTTTCCCCATACGTGGATGTTCTCCGGGGTTTTGTCTTCAGACCTTTTCACTCAGTGATCGCAGTGACTGCTCTGTTTTCAGCTGTTACCTCCCACTTCCAAGGCTTGGCTCCTCTCTCCGGCCCCAGATGCACTCCTGACTGCCAGCTGGGCCAGCCTGAAGCTGGCCCTTGTCCCTCCCCTGGTTGTCTGTCTGGCTCCCCCTTTGTTATCTCCATCTCTGGTGTTCTTGACCCTTCCTCCTCCTCTCTTAGCTCCCTGACTCCCTCCAGGGAGTTGGCGAATCTTCTTGCCTCCATTTCTCCCCTCTCTTCCTCAGAGGCCTTATTAGCTCAGCCGCAGAACTGGGCTGTGGTCACGAAGCCCCCCTTCCTCAGAGAGCACCGATCTCCCCACGCGAGCGTGGCCAGGCAGTGAGGGAGAGTGGAGCCTGTTGGATCCCCCGTGAGGCATATTCCAAACAGTGCAGGATGTGGGTGAAATGCTGAGCGTCCAGGAGGTGTTAAGAAACAGAGCATCTGCCTTGGCTGCTGGATGGCCGCTCCTTCTGTGTGGTCAAGCCTGCCCCCTCTCCGCCCCCAGCATGCCGTAGTGCGCCTGTGGGCCCTGCACACCTTACTCAGATGGCCCGTGACAATATGCTTTTCATAGAGGCTGCACTTAATTCATGTACCTGGCTGGGAAGGTGCAGGTGCTGTGTTATCCCCATTTTACAGGTGATGAAATAGAGGCTCAGGGAGGTGGATCAGCCCCGAGTGCCCTCGTTCCTGGCTGCGGTGCTGCAGTAGACCGGAAGCTGGATCGCTGCCCTCCTCATGACACTCTTCTGCCCTGTGTATCCACTGGTCCATGCTCTCCACTCTGCCTGCAGGCTCGCTCTACCCCAGTTCAGATCGAGTTCAAATGCTGCTGCTTCCAGGAAGTCTTACTGGATTTTCTCTTGTTCTGAGCACCATTGTGCTTGTGTCTCCCTTCTAACGCTGATCCTCACCATGATTACTTGGGACCTGTCCATCTCCCCCACTAAATGACAAACTCCGTGACGGAAGGGACCTCATACATGAGTAGTGCTTCCTGCTTTGCTGGTTTGGACTGCTTGCTTGCGTGGTCCCTTCCCCTCCTGTTTCACGTGTCCAGCACAGTTGTGAGCGAGCACCTGAGGGGAGAAGTGAGGCGGATGCTTGTCTGCCTCTGTTCAGCCCGCTGTCTTTTTCCAATCTGCTTTCATGTCACATGAGCTTCAAAATAAAAAGGCAACCACTCTGTTAGCTCCTCTTTTTATCAGTTTATGTGCGTATGTCCTTGATCATGGTGACCAGGCCTCATAACATTCTGCCTAGTAATGACTTTTAAAAATAACAAATGGATCCCGGAGAGTCGAGAGCGGCGAGGGGTTGTAACCTAGAATGCAATATGGCTGTGTGTAGTGTATATTTGCTTCATACAGAGACACGTTAAAAGCATTCCTTAGACCCTGCGGGATAAGGAGAATAAAAGCACACAGGCCTTGGTTTAGGACTGTGGCTAAGTTTTTCTCTATCAAAACTTGGCCATCAAAGATACCGATCTCTCCCAGGCTGACGGCTGCCCTGATGGGCCAGCTCAGACGGTAGAAACTGCCGGAGGACTGGAAGTGGGGAGCTTGCCGCTGGCAGGCCCGCCCGGCTCTCTTCAGGCCCTGGGCAGGGACTGTGGGTGTATGATGAAATTTGCACACTGACCCCTTTCCCCGAAACAGCCTCAGGGGCCGGCTCAGGGCTCTAGGAACCAGATGCTTCCTGCCCTCGGCGGGAGAGAGCAGGTTCGTGGTGGGCTTCCTCGGGGGCCAGCCGGGCACCGTTCTTCTGTAATCATAAATCCTCATTGGCCGCTTCCCCCTTCGTGACCCCCGCACTCAGATCCATCCGAAGCGACGGCAGGAGCAGTGCAGACGTGTACTCAGTGTGTGTAGCACTGCCGACTTTGGTCTCCCTAAGTACAACTTGAATTTCAGTCTAAAGAAACTTCGCATGCGTGTGTGTGTGGCGGGGGGGTGTGTGTGTGCGCAAGCAGCTGCACCACAGCTATCAACAAAGGAACAAAGTAATTTAGCTCTAAGCACACACTCTCCAATTACCCATAGTAATTCAGAGGAGACATTTTTAAGCTTAAAGAAGTTCTGGATATAGGCAATTCTTTTCTCTAGTCCCTGTAAGTTTTTCTACTCGTCTGTTGTATCTGTTTTTCTCCAGAGATGATCTGAGCTTGAAGAAGCATGTAATTAAAGTCCGGGAAAGGCATGGAGGAGATACAGATGCTCCAGCCGCCTGCGGTGTGTTGAGGGGTCATTGTAGCATCGGGGGTGGGAGGAAGAGGCGCCAGAGGCAGCTGGGGGCATGGGCTCCAGCTTGGGCTGCTGGCTCAGGGGAGGCTGTTGGTGGGTCTCCTCTCTGAACTTCAGGGCTTTCTTTTCCCTCTCCTCTCCTTCAAGCATGCCAATCAGAAAACCCCGTTTCCTTTCTTTTATTCGTTCAAAAGAAAAAGAAAGCCCTCTTCTTTTAAGAGTCGGTCGTACGGCATCTTTTCTTCTGCTCACTTGCTGCCTGTCGGTGCTTGCTGGCCTCTCACCACCTGGGGACTCCTGCTGGCGGCGCAGGCTTGGAGCGGACACCAGGCCCCTGGGGCCGTGTGCGGAGGGGCCGTATGCGCGGGCGGGCCGGGGAGCGTGAAACTCACCAGCCCTTTCCTGGAGTCTGTGAAAGGGATGCATGCTTGGCCCTGGCTGGTAGCTCAGTTGGTTAGAGAACATCATCCCTCATATGCCAGGTTGCAGGCTCAGTCCCCAGTCAGGGTTCACACAAGAGTCAACCAATGAATGCATAAGGTAACAACAAATTGAAGTTTCCTTCTCTCTCTCTCTCTCTCTCCCCCCCCCCTCTAAAAAATCAATGAATGAAATTTTTTTTTTTTTTTAAGGGAGGCATGCTGGCTTGGAGGAGAGGGGCTTTGGGGTGGCTATTAGGAAGGAAAGCGTGGGCGGGAGCCAGGGTGTTGCGCACATCTTCCATCATCTCCCCGTGACTTTTCTGGTTCTGTGGAAGCTGGCATTCCATCAGCGCTTATGGGTCGGACAAGAAGCTGCTGGACGCTCTGGACATTCAGTTTTTGAAATCATTCCAGTTTGCGGGCCAAAATTTTTGTAAGCTGTGGAAAATTGTGTGTGTGTGTGTTTTTATTGTGGTAAAATATACATAGCATAAATCATTCCATTGTAACCATTTTTAAGGGCAGACAAGTTCCCGGTGTCTTGCCAGCAAGACATGGAGTGGCATTAAGCGTATTCACCGTGCTGGGCAGATACCGCTGTTGTTCGTTTCCAGAATGTTTTCATCGTCTCAAACAGAAACTCGGCTCATCAGACCACAGCCCCCCATTGCCTGGAAACCCCGGTAACCTCTCTTCTCCTTTCTCTCTGTGACATACGTGTGTTTTTAATTTAGCAGGATGTGCACTTCCGTTCCAAATACTTCACAGAAGAGCTAAGAAGAATTTTTATAGAGGACACTGACTCAGAGACGGAGAATTTTGAGGGATTTACGCAGAGTGATCTGAACGTAAACAGTGTCTCAGAAGCAAAGGTAATAATTATCAACACGGGGGAGTGTGGGCCGTCCTGATTGTAGTTCTGTTTCTGAATTGTATTTTTACTTGAAAGAAGTCACTTCACAAATGAAAAGATACTACTTTTTCTTACATGTTTATCTTACAAGCCAGCTAACAAAATAAAAAACCTTGCTATTCTAAGGTGACTAGAATGCCACCAGTCCATTATGCTCTTAGAGAAAATCCAGTTGCCATCCTCTGGTGCCTTGGAGGCTGTTTTGGAGGATGTGTCCCGCGTGCTAGGTGTCTCTTATTGTCCTTATCAAAGAATTTCTTTTTTTATTTATTCATTTTTAGAGATGGGAAAGGGAAGAGAGGGAGAAGGAGGGAGAGAAACATTAGCTGGTTGCTTCTCGCATGCGCCCAAAGTTGGGGGCCGAACCTGCAACCCAGGCCTGTGCCCTGGCTGGGAACTGAAACGGTTATACCTCGCTCTGCGGGAAGATACGCAACCACCTGAGCCACAGTAGTCAGGGCTCAAAGACTTTCTTGACCCTCTTTTATCTGAAAAGAGGAGGGCCTATCTGGGAGTGTCAGGTCTTTGAAGTCATTTCTTATTGTGTGTGAAATAATGTTCTTGGGATTGTAGTTAATTTGGACAAGATTTAGCTGTAGTGCAGTCTTGGGGTTCTCCTCGTGCATTCTTGGTTTTTGGAGTTTGACGTGTTTTTTAATGAGAAAGAAGACCTGGACCTGCCTGATTGCCTGAGAGAAATCCACTCTTGTCACTTTGCCATAAAGACTCATTTGTTAGTTGATCTCTCTTATAATTCTATATAGTTGATCTCTCTTATAATTCTATATGTTTAGGCCAGTGTATTGCTGACTGGTTTTGAATCTCAGGGTAACTTTAAAGAACAGCCTTCGGATTTTTTATTTTTTTGCATAGAAGTGTTTTCTGCTAAGTGAAAAATAGCATACATTGATCCCCCAAAATCAATGTACCTCTTCCTTCTTTGGTATCAAGAGAAAGGATAGAGGTGAAGCTTCTCCATGGTCAGAAGCTCCTAAGGAACCACTTCTGACGTGGAACCTGTGTAGAGGTTTAAATTCGTTGGAACCAGTAGGTTCATTGTGACCCTCACCTTTTCCTCGGGGCATGGAAGGCCTGAAAGCCCTGATGGGAGGCTGCCTTATTTGTTGGTGATTTTACTTCCTGTGAATAGGCAACCCAGCGCCGCTCCAGCCTGTGGGCCCCAGCCCTCCCCTGTCTGTCTGTAAACAGGCTGTTGCCCTGGCAGTCACGCGGTCTGGCCAGCAGGACACTGAGACCCTTCCAAACCCTAACGGGTATCATCTACTCTTGGTGACTTCTTATCTTCTGTTCTTTAGTTAAGGGATATCTGGCTATGTAAAGAATTCATGTTTTCAACCTTACGTTACCCTCGAAGTCTCCTCCCACCCCCAGACTGTAAATTTGGGGTATGAATTGTATGTAACATGTTATGTTGACTCTGATTCAACAAATTCATAGCTCAGGGCAGGTCCACCTGCAAAATTTGGTGAGAAAACAAGCTTTGTTTTCCCTGTTCCCAGCCTCCTGCCCCCTCCCCCTACCGCCCCTGTGGGTGCCCCCCCACACCCCCCGCTGTGAGATCTGGTAAGACCACTGTTTCTGGTAATAGGATACTATCATACCTTCCTGCCCCATGGTCTTCTAGCCAGAGGCAAACAGCCACGGCACGGGGCTGGCCCTGGTGTGTTCCCCTCAGGGCCGAGTGTCCACTGGTATGTATTACCATTTGCTCTTCCCCTACTTTTTAGTGAGCTGCTCCGCCTCCTTGGTAAAAAGAAGTGGGTTAGAGGAGGAGGATGATAAATAAAGCCAATCTAGGGGATCGTTCCTCCGAGGTTCTTCAACAGTGTCTCCTAAAACTGGATTCCTTGGCGGCCTACCATTTTCAATCCCAAAGTTATTTAATTTAGAAAGTTCAGGAAGATAGATAAATTAGCACCGTATAGTTTATTTCTCTACTCGGCTTGTGGATTGATAACATACACCAAAGTTAGGCAGTTTCTGCATTTTTTCCTCCCTCTGCCTCATTCTTCCCTCGAGTCCAGCTGGAATTTGGGGCTGGTTGCTGAGCAGGAAGCAGAGTCGCATATGTGGATCCCGCGCCCACCCGGGTGCTGCCTGCTGCTCCCCTTCCAGCAGCCCCGCTGTCCGAGTCCCGGGCGGGTCCCCAGGCTCATCCTTTCGGCACGCGGTCCAGGAAGGAGGCCCAGGAGATGTCCTCGATTGTTAGTAGTCCCCTTGTGTCTGAGACGTCACCCGCTGTCACCTGGGTAATGTCGCCCAGCTGTTGCCTTCCATTCTTACTGTGTTCTTGTGTGAAATGAAAGTATGTTTCAGTGATATCAAGTGGAGCTTGAAAACTGGGGGAGGGAATTTCTTGTGCTGATTGAACAGGTGCTCCACAGCAACCTGCGGAGCTGTCTCCCTCGATTCCCTGCCCCCTGCCTCTGGTCAAGAAAAGGAAGTCAAGGATGCATGTGTCCTGGAGATGAGGTTCCCCCATGATCCCAGTGGCAGGTTCTCTGCCTGCTCCTTTTCACTCCTGAGTCCCCATTCCTGCTATTTAGTGCAGAATAGTCAGTACCTTTGTCGTCCCTTAGCCCTCCGTTTGTATCTGAAGATGAGTCTTAGGTCACACGCACCCCTTCCTTTGACGACTCTGCATGTTACTTGGCTTCCGGTTGTGCCAGCTTGGCTGTTCCACTGTGCAGGAGGCCAGTTTGTAGGGTTTCGCTCCTGCCTGATGCTCTGAATGGAACCCTGAGGGTTTGCATTTCTGCTGAGTTCCCAGGCGGTGCTGGTGCTCCAGCTGTGAGAGGAGCCCCGGGTCTAAGCTGTAGGCTGCAGCGAGAGTCCATCTAAACTGAACCGAGGAGCGGCTCAGCGGGGCAGAGGGAACGTGCCTGCCCTTTGATTTAGTCATCGACTAACTCCTTGAGCACTGCACTGAAAAGATCAGGGGGACTCATAAGAAGGGGAAGCTGTCAGCTCTTTATTTTTTTTTCTCAGATAATGTCAGGGTGGTTTCAAATACGTCCTTTTGAAAGCCTGTTGCAAGACAACATCTTCGTTGTTTCTTATTTTTGTTAGCTTGAGAAGTCCGATTCAAGCAATGAAGATGAGGCGTCGGCAGTGAGTGAGGAGGAAGAGGACGAAGAAGAAAAGGCTACCCCTCGAAGAAGCAGGCCTCGGAGAGGCAGCATTGGTCTCCGAGTAGCCTTGCAATTCCCCACCAAGAAACTGGCCAAGAACCCTGATAAAAACAATTCTGAGCCACTGCTCTCTAGCTCATGCCTACCGGACGATAAAAAAGGCATTCTTGGGCGAAAAAGAAGTTACAGGCAAGGGAAGGAAAGGGAAGATTCTGCCTCTGAGTGTGAGGATGACTCCAGGGATGAAGGCCAGGAGAGCTCAGACGCGCTGCTGAGAAGGACCATGAACATCAAGGAGAACAAGGCCATGGTAAGGCCCATGGGGGCGTCTGGGAGCGGGTGGCGGGCCCTGACCGGTGCTGCCGAAGCGAAGGCTGCACACGCGCTCACGGCAGTGGCCGCTGCTGCTGCTTTGGCTTCTGTTGGGTGATGCGCTCTGGGTACTGTGTGTCCTTTTTTCTGAGCCCCAAGCAACGATTACATGATAGCTCTGGTTTGGAAACAGAGAGACAGACTCCTAGCACCATTTTTTAGCCCCCTGCTCTGTGCCATCTGCTGATGCTGAACCACTGGCCTGTTCCCAGCAGAAAGAAGCTAGAAATAAGATATTGGGAAGCCACTTACAAGTTGCAGTATGCGGGTCAGGCAGGCGTTTTTCAACCCAGAAACCTTTTCCCTGTGGAGACCCACTGTGGTCTCAAGATATTATCTGAAGGAATGAAAGTGGTCTAGGTATTAAAGCAAACAACTTGAAAGTGTCTTCACTGGAATAACTAATGGAACAGGTGAAATCTGTTATGCGTAGATTATCTGTACATGGTCAATAACTTGTTAGCCTCGTAATTTTGTATATACAGAGTCTTTAAAAATGATACTGCCACTCAATCATTTTTAGCATTTTGGTGTATCTTCCTTTAAAAAAGAATAATGTAATGATACTGCCCATCCAATCTTTTATGTCTAAAAAGTTACTTAAGAAAATATAAAGCTAGCTTTTGGGTGCAATTTATCCTGAGGCACATTTGTGCTTATTAGCCAAGGGAAAATTTTAACACTGTGTTAAAAACTACATCTTTAAAAACTGCGTTCTTCATGATCTTTTGATGACACCCATACCTTGTGTATAAATCTAAAACTCAAAAGAACCCTAATGAAAATGCACAATTGGCATATTAATGCCTGTTACTTGGTGTTCTTATGTGCTTTTTTGGAAATATTTTTAGAAATTATTATCATCGATGAAATTTTAACTCAGTTTTTTTTTGGAGCTCTAAATAACTGTCAGAATGGTCTAGTGGAGCCTTTTCTGTTTCGAACATGATGAAACTTGATTCAAGGGCACAGACCAGGGTAACACTAATTAATGGCCTGGTCAGGATTCCAACCCGATGCTCCAGGCCTTGGTCATTCCGGGACAGTTTAGGTTGTGTCATGTCCTTATACATAAGAAATGGGCATGGGTTTTGTCCCTACACATGATAATGTCAGCATGTCACCTCTGGAGATAGTCTTTACCTGTGAGGTTAAAATTATAACAGTTGTTGAGATGTTAAGTGACGTTCGTCACGTTTCTCATGGCTGCAGAACTGAAGACTTGTGATCAGGTGTTCAATGAACTAGACTTGGGAATATTTATGTACGGTCCTTTCTTTGTTCTGAACTTCAGCTTGCTCAGTTATTGGCGGAACTGAACTCAATGCCCGATTTCTTCCCCGTACGAACCCCGAGCTCAGCTTCTGTAAGTGGCACTCCTTATTATTATTTATTCCAATGCTGATGGACGTAGTTGACAGCCAGATGGCTTGGGTCCCAGAAAGCACCCAGCTGCACATGTCTATGCTCTCGCTTTCAGAAGAAGAAAACCGTGAGGCGGGCCTTCTCAGAGGGGCAGATCACCAGGCGCACGAACCCCACCCGGAGCGCGCGGCCGCCCGAGAAGTTCGCTCTGGAGAACTTCACTGTCTCGGCCACCAAGTTTGCAGAAGAGTTTTGCACTTTCAGAAGAAGGAAGACAATTAGTGGGGTATTTTTGACCCTAGTGAACAGATAATTCTCTGTCTAAGCTGGTGGTCCTCTGATACCAGCGGTCATCGTGGTCACTCTGGGGCTTGTTAAAAGCGCTGAGGTTCTGCCTGGGTAGACCTGTAGCAGCGGAGGATTCGCATTTGTATAAACCCCCGGGTGGTTCTGGTGCTTCTCAGACTGCACTTGGAGAAGAACCCCTGGTCTAGACTGCAGGCCTTGGGGAGAGTCCTTTGTCTGAGCCCGTGGAGGAGAAGAGCAGCTCTGTGGTTAGTTGCCTGGCCCCGGCTCCAGCTCCAGGCATGTTAGCGGCGCCAGTCAGCCTGGCGGTTTTGCCTGGGGAAACATAGTGATTTCTCGGTGCCTTCGTGTTAGGAATGTGGTATTTCAAGTGCCTTCGTTCCGGAGGGAGATGGGTTTGGCTGTCCCTTGTGATTCACGACCCTGTTGGCTGGGTTTACAGCAGGTGCTTGAGCTTCTCTATCATTCTGGCCCCTGGCCACGAAGGCAGGTTGGTGCTATGAGGCGGGAGCGCAATTAATGGCTCAGTGAATGAGTGATTTTAGGAAAATAAAAAAGGGGCACAGTTAGTACTAATGGTACTAGAACTCTGACAGTTTAAAATAAAGTGTTTAACCACTCCTTTTGCAGGGGAGGTGCCAGGGGCCTAGACGGCGCCACCGGACCTCTTCTTTCCGGCCAGTGGAGGACATCACTGAGGAGGACTTGGAAAACGTTGCCCTGACTGTTCGAGATAAAGTCTATGATAAAGTTCTGGTAAGTCACATGCGACGATAATTCACATGATAGGGATTCTTACTGGGGCTCCGAGGCACTAGCACTGGAGACCCTGCGTTGTCTTTAACCCGAGCCTGGGCTTAGACCCCGGGCCATCTCCCCAGGGCACAGAGTGGGCTCTGAAAGGGAGGGTCAGCGGTGGCTGGGAGACGGCTTGGGCCAGGACCTCTCGCCAGGGGAGAGGTTCCTCGGGGGGCTGCCTGGTGGCGAGGGTGGGAGGGGCAGGGGTACAGTTTAGGAAAACATGTTTTTTTCTTAGTTATATTTCTATACTTTTAATGCCTTAAATATTGAAAAAAATAATGTGCTTTTTGGTTGACATAACCATAGAAACAGGTTTGGGAGACTATTTGGTTGGTAGGAAGTGGGTTAAAATTTCTTTAAAACAGTGCTTTAGAGGCAAGCTATATGGTGTTCTGCACATTTTTGAGGTAAGTAATGCACAACTGACTTAAGGTAGCATTAAAATGTTTTTAATTGCCCACATTTTAAAACCTGGAGGTTTTTATACTGAGAATACCCCGATTACCAGGAACCAGGTTGGAGCTGAGGGATGCTGTGTGGGATTCACTGCCGCTCTGTCACCTGTCACCCTCCATGGGCTTCACCCTCCTGCTTTCCCCTCATCTCTGGCCATTTAATTTCTTCGAGGCTCCCTGCTCCGCCTCCCCTGCCCTAATACGCTTCTCTGGCCCCAGAATGAAACGTGCGCGCAGGCTACTGAGGGTGTGGTGCTGTGGTTTGGACCGGAGACACAGTGACACTGGATTCTGAGAGAGGGACAGTGTGTGTCTAGGCACTTAGGAATGCGCATGACCACGTGTGGCCTTGTGGCCATCACCCTCTACGTCCGTGTTCAGCCACTCCAGCCTTCTCTCCCTGCAGGGTAACACGTGCCATCAGTGTCGGCAGAAGACCATCGACACCAAGACGGTGTGTCGGAACCAGAGCTGCGGCGGCGTGCGGGGACAGTTCTGTGGGCCGTGCCTGCGAAATCGCTACGGGGAGGACGTGAGATCGGCGCTGCTGGACCCGGTAAGAGCAACCTGCGCGTTCGTCATGAATTGCATTGGCGAAGGGAAGCCTGCAGGTGGGGCTCCCTGGGCCCTTTGTCGGGGACCAGCAGCTGCAGAGCTCTCCAGAGGCTTTAACCGCCTCCTCCCTTTCTGCGGCTTGAGACGCTAGGAGGAATGGAGAACAGGGTTTCCTTCTGGAAAGGGAGCAAGCTGCCCAGCGGACAGGACAGGACAGGACATGACGGTGCACTGGGTTTCCCAGGGTCAGCCGCGCTTTCCTACAATGGCCTGGCTCGTCCAGGTGCATCTGTGTGCTGTCTCTGCTCTGAGGTTTCCCATCTGCGAATGCAGTTTATCTCAGTTACTAATTCATTTACCGCCATGAATAGATACATAACCTATGCCCTGGTTCCTTCCATAAAATGAGAATAGTATCTTGGTTAGTAAGTGTGATCTTGAACCTGGGTACTCCGTGCTCTTAACCTTTATACAGTAGTCGGGGAGTATGTACTTTCCCCAACTTGCAGATGACTATAAACTGCTACTCCAGTTAAATGATTTAACAACAGTTACACAAATGGGAGGTGGAAAAACGCGTGTTCATACTTATCTTTTGGAAACCCTCTGCTCCTAAAACCGGGACCAACTTCCTGGCTCTGCTGGAGTTGTACAGTGCCCTGCACTTGATCTGATACTCTGACATTCTCCAAAATTTTGAACTGGTGTCTTGCTTGTTAGGTTAGTTGGTCCTGTCTAAACCGACATTTTCCCGTGTTCCTCCATGTGTCATGTTGGGTGAACAAGCTTCCTGGGCCCTTTTTGAAACCTGTGAGAGGAAGGAGAGAGAATCTTTCACCCTGTGATACAAAGGAAGAGCTACCACGTGACTACAGACTGGAGGAGAGGCCTGCGGAAACAGGCTTGGCCAGAGCTTGCAGATAACGCGGGCATTTCTGCTTCATCTGTCTCCTAGGGCTGGATATGTCCTCCGTGCCGTGGGATCTGCAACTGCAGTTACTGCAGGAGGCGCGATGGCCGCTGTGCCACAGGGATCCTCATTCACCTGGCCAAGTTTTACGGTTACAACAACGTCAAGGAGTATCTGGAGAGGTAAGCCTCACAACTCAAAATGGGGGTTGCAGCCTCGGGTCCAGCAGGGCAGACCCTCCAGGGAGGTGGGGGTGCCTCACTGCAGGCTGATTCTTACACGCCACCTGGTCTAATGCCACCCATGCTGTCGCTCTTTGCATTGGAAAGTCTCAGGACTGATGTTTTCCCTGCTCTGAAATGCCCTCGTTTGCTCGGATTTTCACCTTGGGCCTGCCTGGATCCGGTGCCCCTTCCTGTGTAGAACAGAAGTGGAGTATGCAAGGCAGGCCCAGGGGAAGCCGTGGAGGCCAGTGGCAGCGCTGACCCCACCGGGCAGAGAGGAGAGGTTTGGGGGATGTACATTTAGGACATGGCTGTCTCCTTCTGGGGACAAGGAAACGGAATGCGGGCCCCCAGCAGACTCTAAAAGCAGTTTCAGAATGAGACGAATCCGAGTTGGGGCCGGCCCACACGGTCTACTATTAAATGACGTGTAGGAGTCAGGGCTGTGGCACGTCAGAAGGTCCAGTTCTGGCTTTGCACACCAGGGACTGAGCCTAGGATGCGGCTCTGTTTGTCCTCCCTCCCATTCATTACTTACCACACTAACCCGTCCCATCTCTTTCTCAGCTTACAAAAGCAGCTGGTAGAAGACAATTAAGGGAGAGAAGGACCAGCCCAGCTCACCTTGCGTACTCCTCAAGACATGCCCTTCGTACCGTTTGTGCCTAAGATTTCTTAGAGTTGTGTTTTTATACAGGAATCCTTTGTAGATCTAAATACTATTTTTGTTTTTTTTAAAAAAAAAAGATTGTTTATATGCTTACAAAGATTTCTCAGGAAGACAGCTAAGCACCTCGAGGAATCTATATACACATATACACAGGACTGTTTGAATTGTTAAGTGTGCAGGTGACTAAAAAGCACAGTTAAAGTTCAGGTAAGTTCCAGAGGAAACACTGCATAAGTAGCTCTTGCCTTTGACACCATTTAATTGATGTTGCCTGGCTCTTTCACTTCCCAAACAGTAACTCCAGGCCAAGTTTTTACAGGGGTTACAGCCCTCTTTGCTTTACCTTAGTGCAAACCACGTAGTTTGAACCTGCTCTGCATGATTGGAAATTTATATTGACGGATGTTCCCCTAAATTACAAAGTGCAATTAACCACTGATCTTGAGTGTACCAGAGTTTTATTTTTTATTAAAACTTGAACAAAAAGTGGACTGTCACGTTACCGACACTGGAGGCCTCGGAGCGTCTGCCTCTTCTTTCAGGAGTGCCTGGGGCCAGTCGCGTCTATGTTTTAAGAGAATATAAGAGCTAATTTTTAATTTAAAAAGATTTTGTTTAATATCTTACTAGAACTAAAAGCCCACTAACTGACCAGGAGACTTCCAACCTCATTGTTTTTGAGGTGGTATTTTCAGTGAAACCTTGATAAAAATGTGGGAGATAACTGTGTGTGTTGGGGGATGGGTACTGGGGGAAGCTAAAAAATGACTACGTTCTGGCTAGTTTTCCAGTATTTCTTTCTACGGTTGCTTCTTTCTCTTCCCCTTCTCCACTTTTTAAGGAATGGTGTTAAAAAAAAAAATGTACAGAAAATTAATGCACAGTTACTTAAAAGTTACAGAAACTGGAATGTTTTATGCCTGTCAGTAGAACAAATTAACGTGCAGGAGGGCGACGCAGTGACCCAGTGAAAACCCTCACCGTGGTCCGGTGGGGGGCTACGCATCCCAGCACGAGGGTCCTCTACGCTTCCAGCAGCAGAGCCACGCCTGCCAGGACCCATTTGGCCGTCTTCTCTTGGCTCCTCAACCTGAAGGTCCAGATGTAGTTGGGGCCCCTCGTTTTGATCCTGTACACAGGGCACGCATAGGTGTGCTTGGTGTCCTGTCTGTCCGCGGGGACGGCTCTCGCAAAGATGACGGGCATCGCCGACGTCAGCTCCTTGAGGCGGGCTTCAGCAATGGTTCCTGACTGGACGTCCCATCTCGCACCTGGAGAAAACACGAGGGTGGCAGTGGTGGGGCATGTGGGGACAGACCTGGTAATTGTTGTAGGCAATAAACGTTCCAGTTTTGTCACGTTACTGCTTGTCAGTGGCTTCCTTGCGGATCTGGCCTTTGAGGTATGAGAGGGAGGGCAAGATGCCTGCTATTCAGGTGCAACGCACACGCAGCAGGCAGACTGTTGCTCCCGTCTTTAACACCTACACTCTTTAAAAAAAGTAAACAGATTCCGTAACAATCCAGACCCACTAAACTAACTAGTTTGCTCTGCCTTAAAAAAAAAAGTGCATTTGAATGCTTATAGAGAGTATAAGAAATCTAATGCACCACATTCTCACCCCACCGCACCTTATCTTAGTCCAGTTTCATGTACCTCATCGACACCACCTGACAGGTCTTCAAACACTTGAACTTGCGGCACTTGGTCTAGAGCAGGGGTGTCCCACCTCTGGTGTGCAGGCTGCCGGCAGCCCAACACAAAATCGTAGATTTACTTAATCACAAAAAAAAAGTTTTATGTGTCGCAATATATTGACTGTGTAACCCAGAGACAACAAAAGGTTGGCCCCTGTCCTCCCCGCCCCAAACAAAACGTCTTGGTAAGGACTAGGGCAGAATTTCTGAAAGTGTTCTTCAGGCCAAGAGGAAACAAATGCAGGGCCAAATGAATTTGGAAAACACTGTATATTCCTCCCAGTCCTGTGCCCTTGAGATATTTACAGTCTGCATTGGCATCTTAAAGGCTTGGAGAAATCTTGCAACAAAACAGTGAAAAAAGTAGATTTTGAACCAATTGCAAGCAAAATAAATTCAGTGTAGATTTTAAATGACCCTCAGTATTGAACATCAGATGTGTACACAGATTTAAGTGAGAGCCATCACCCCAAATGCCTTTCCCTCTGGCGTGCACGTGACACAGATCCTCATCTAAATGCAAGAGGAAGTGAGGTAAAGAACCACTCATGGGAGTGGATCGTGAGCGAATAAAAACGGGGCAAATACTTGAACTGAGTAAGGAAGCCCTTAATTGAATAACGTACTCCGTGGAGTGTCTCACCTTCCATGAAGAGTCCGTGCAGATAAGCACCTTCCCGTGGCGGGTGGCCGTATTCTTCCTTGGCTTTTTTGGTCACATCAACCGTCAAGCACATTTTATCCAGTGGCCATGCATTTTTTCGAGCCATGGTCTGCATGATTGCTTTGGGAGGAGAAGGGACAGGAATAGTAAACTGCATGGAAGGTTCCCGGGAGCCACCAACAAGCTGAGCGCCTAACTGAGGTGGGCTCCTGTCCCGCAGGATGTTTTGGCTCCCGGGTATTCGCACGTGGCCGCGTTAGAACAAGGGTTGGCAAGCCAAAGCCTTCAGAGCAACCTCAGCTTTCAGAAAGAAGCTGTTACTGCAATGGCCATGCCCATCTGGGCAGCAGCGCCGTGGCGGGGCAGAGCCCTCATGAGGGAGGCTGTGCACCCCTTGGCCAGAACTAGACGTTTGCTAGCCTGGGCCATGGCTTCCCTCACTGGGCTGCTCCTGGGCCTCCTTCCCTTGCTCTTCTGCCCAGAGTGTTACTTCCTGTCTCTCCCACTCCTTTTCTGTATTGGCTACTGCCTGAGGCCTGGGGAGCAGGGCCGGGAGAGCAGTCACAGCTGGAAGGATTTCCGCTGGGCGGGGGGGGGGTGGCTCTGTGAGCAGCAGACCTTACCGGTTAAGAAGGACTGAGGGTTGAAGAGGCCAGAAAGCCACACCACAGCCGGAAGGGCAAGGTCTTGGGTCCACGTCTCCAGTTCTCGGCATCGCAAGAGGAGGTCATTAAACCTGGTTAATAGAAGGTAGGAAGAAATAAGCTTGCTTTTTTAGTAATATAGAAGTTTCCCAATAACTAGTAAAGCCATTACCTAATGACTTGCAGAATGTCCCTTTAAAGGGCTAGTTTTTTTCCTGGTAGGAATTTCGTATCTTAGAACCATCAGAGACAAACACTGGGGAATCTGGAAAATTTGTCTCCATTATTCAACTATTTAGATCCTTCCAGCGCTATGTGATGACTATACACAGGTGCCAAAAGAGAACATGGAGGTACTTAAGAACAGGGTGCGTGGGAACACACAAGGAAGGCCACCCACGTATGTCTGGGGAACGGAGGGGAAGGCTACTGTGGTCGTTACTAGACCATAGATGCCTTCCCAAGTGGCAACATTTACCCGATAGCAGGAAAGGTTATTAGTAATTATCAAGTTACTTTATCCACTGCATGCTTGTGGTTTAAGAAACTGCTGTTTTTATACAGGTCCTTGCATCTCAGCTGCAAAGGTAGGAAATGCCTGTAATTTACCTATGAGGAAGCTGGCTCACAGAGGCTAAGGGAAAAAACGAGCTCTGGTAACACTAGGAGACCTGTGAAACCTTGTAATGTGGGTTTAAGGAGGAACATTACAAACTGGAGACACGGAGCACGAAGAAGACAGCCCAACGAAAAAGCCAGCAAACAGTTCACACGGGCCAGCCCTGGAGTTTTCTGGGACCTGGTTTGGATCAGAGCGGCAAAGGCAGCAGGGCCGGAGGAGGGCTCATCCCCGCACACCAGCCCTGTGGGGAGGGGCGGCCTGAGACGGGGAGGTGGAGGAGGAAGGGCTCTGAACGTTCCCATTCAAACGGGCCACCAGAAGCGAAATTCTTGCCCACTTAGAACACAGCGCTGTGCCCTGCCCACGTTGCAGATCCCTGGTTTAGGGCAAACAGACTTGAAGATAGGTATCACAGAAAGCAAGGATGGCAAACGACTCACTCAAAAGGTTGCCACAGAAGATAACTATTACAGCCAAACAAGTTTTTAAATAATGAATTGATTGGGTTAAGAAAAAGGAAATTAAGTTGGAAGATCTCAGAAGTGGAAAAAAACACTGATAGAAATGGAAGCAAAAAGCGAAGCCGCATAAGGTAGAATAATTTTTAAAAGCCAAAAAGAAATAGTGAAAGATGAAAGTTGGAACAGCATATATTTACTAATACAATTCTAGAAAATTGGAGTTCCTAAATTAAGAATATGAATATGTATAATCAAGGACATACTGCGTTTCAAGAAAACTTGGCAACAGAATATTCAATACTATGATATGTCCTATTATAAACTGTGAAGATAAAGAATGCCCTAGTCAGGGAAAAACATGAAGCCTTTTATAAAAGGAAAAAAAAAATGTCAGCTTCAGATTCCTCCACAGCAGCATTTGATCCAAGAATAGGGCAATGCCTACAAAACCCTCCAGCAATGCATGGGTTATTTTTTTTTTAAACTAGCTTAACTGACATGCTAGTGTAAAGAACTGATTATGTGGCATGAAAAATTACCAGCACATCCAACAAATGGGAAAGTTGATAGGAAGTAAAAATAAGAGACTACTGAAAAAAAAAAAAAAGACTCTGAAGAAGTATGTTTTAACTCCTGAGAATGAAAAAGAATAATAGTCATAAAAACAGAAAACTAGGTCAGCTACCTTCCTTGCAAACACCCCCCCGCCCAATATAAATAACTTGGAACTGAAAATTGATTTGGGACAATTAAATTTTTAAAATAAGAGGAGAAACATTAGACCAGAGACAACTGAACATACAATGGCGATCACCCAGAACTAACAAAATCAACCAGAATACATTAGACAGATAGATTGCAAATACAAGTGTTCAGGTAGGTAAATACAATGGAGAGAAAGGGGAAGGCAAATTTTGGAGACATAAGGGATAAGAATTT